CAATCTGTTCCAGTGTCTAAGAACAAATTCAATCTTCTTCCCTCAAATCAGATACTATCCCTAAATATCCATCCACCCTACTGAGGGAAGAAGATTCTTTCCGTGGTTGTCCACTTGTTATTTTTTTTTGCTGGAGCTCTTGGGAGACATTTGCCCCCCCCGGGCAGCCCCGCGGCTGAGGGCAGCCCTCTCCAGCCGGCAAACGCTTCCACAGGCAGGACGTGCAAGCCCACATCTGTTTCTCAGAACCGTCTGACTTGTGCAGTTTTCTCTCTCCCGAGGGACATTTACACTTCCTTCCCCCATCTGGATTTAATGTAAAAATAATCCCAGTGGCTTTGCCGAAGCCGTGGAGGAGGTTCCAATAGTTTCCTCTGTGAAGTCACACCCAAGTAGAGGGTGCCCCGGCTTCAGGGCCAGCCGAAGGCCCAGAGCCAGCGCGGCTGCCCGGGGCAGTAAAAGCTGGCGCAGGCGGGCAGCGCTGGGAAACGCGGGTTCCTCCTTTGGCTCCGCCCGGGAGGCGTCCAGCTGCGCTGTGTCGCAGCAGGGAAGTGCCGGGGGACGCCGCTTTCCTCAGCAGCCCCGCTGCCTCCGCCCCGGGGCTCCCCCTTCCCTGCGCCCGTGCCCCAGTCAGCGGCGGCTCCGGCAGCTCGGCCCCGGGCCCGCGGAACGCCGGGCCCACGGAACGCCGGGCACACGGAGCCTCCCGGCACCCACGGCGGAGCGGGGCCCGTGCTCCCCGCTCCCGTCTCCCCAGCGGCTGCTCCTCCCCCAGCCCCGCTCCCGCAGCCTTGCCCTGCCCGTCGTTGCTGCTGTGTGCGCTTTAGCCTTGTCAGGAAAGGAAACGCCGGCACAAACCGGGCCTCCTGCCCCAGCTGTCAGAAGCCGTTGGGGTTCCTCTTGGTAAACTCAGCAATCTGAAGGCAGCAGCTGGTTTTGTTTTGAATGTACTTTTCCCACTTGCTCCTGTTTCAAAGAAGGAGATAGGGATAGTTAAACTCTGCAGCCTAAGGCTCTCTGCTGCACCAGCCAGTTTCTCCTTTCTAGTCCGTGAATATGGAGATGTTGCCCCAGAACAAGGCTCAGAACAGGAGCTTGACATAGCTGCCCTGAACTGCTCCCAAAGCATTCTTTTGTGAAAGCCTCCCTGCCAGCCAGGGTGCATCATCCCTACGGGGATGTTTTGCTCTCCCTACTGCATATCAAGATAGCTACTTTACATAGTTGTCTTGATAAGTGCCAAAAGCTGAAGCTCCCAGTCACCCGTGACTTGTCTATATGGCACTGCAAGACAGTGAAAGGAGATAATCTGGAAAGGCAAGAAGGATAAATAGGTAAGGAAGACTACTTCTGCCCTGATGTTGAGGTAGGAATCCAAGGCAATGCCTTAAGAGTTAGCTGACGGTGGAGCAAGCACTACCATGCAGAACTCCCACAGGCCAACTTGACAGGACTACCATTCCTCCATTTACAGACCAAACTGATTAAATCTGTGGCACAAGCAGAGGACTTCCACTGCTTGCTCTGCTGGCCATGTGTATGACTAGCCACGGATGTGTACACAGGAGGAGAGTCCGTTCTCAAGATACACAAAAATAATACTGATCCATACAGTTGCTTAGCAAGCTTGTAGAAAGAACATTTGTCATCGCAGCACTGCCACACTCAAATGTTCTACTGCCCAAAGAAAGTTGTAGATATCAGATCCTGATCACACAGAGGAAATGCATCAGCGTTTAATATTTTGCTATTCTTTTAGCATTCCCCAAGTCATGCAAGATTTCCCTGGGCCATGTTCCCTACTCACAAGGACTACACAAATCTAGTTTCAGACCCAACACCATGACAGAAGACACAAAACAGCTTTGGACAACAGGGAGGAAAGAAAGCAAGATGGTGGCTTTTATCCTGTGGTCCCCCTCAGTCCTTTCTGTTCCCACAGCTTGAGTTAAAGGTCAGAGAGCATGACAGCACAAGGGTCTCAGGCCTCTAGTGGCACTGGGGATACATGAATGTCTTTTTCAACCCTTGAAGTGGTAGGGATTGCCATAATGTCCATTGTGGATTGGATGCCAAAGCCCCATTTGTTCATCAAAAGCTACCAAAACTGCAAGTCTTCCCCACCGCACCCCTAAAGTCTGCAACATAGTTTTTTTTCCTCAGTCAAGACAAAGATCTGTGTAGTATTCTTAAAATGTAAGTGTTACATAAATAAAGCTAAAAGAGGACCCCAAACCTGAACACGGTACAAAACAAGAATGTTGAGCCCTCTCTACTACATTTAATTCAGCAAGACCTCTGAATGGTGTGTGCCAGTGACAGCCTGCTCTGAGAGGCTGGTTTGGATATACCACCACTGCTCTACTGGAGCTGAGGGAAATGGGCTGTCCCAGCAGTAGTGCCCCATCTATGCACGGTACCCTACTTTGTGATCCTGCGGCCCCTCAGGGTCTCTGGACACCTCTGCACTGCCCACTCACCACTTGACACCTTTCCCTGTCAGGTTTTGCAGATCCCTTCTAGTGTTTGCCATCCTCTCAATTCACTGCCATGTCCTTACTTGGTGCCACCATCCATCCTCCAGCATAATGTCCCTCATGCTATAATGCCTTTCTTCTTCATCTCAGCAGTCTCTTGATGTTGGCCTGGATCCAGTAGCCAGCCTTCTCCACAGCTCTTTCAGGGCCTGTGCCTGCACCTGGCAATGTGGTCACTCAGACATGGCCCATCTACATGCCTCCATAGATCTTCCCCACAAGATTCTTACAGCTTACAAGGCATCTCTGTACTCTGTAGGCTCCCTCAACATCTCCCTGATGAATTTTCAGCTGAGATGTGGGGGGGAGAAGGCTGCAGAACTGATTCAGCATCCCAAAGGTTCTCCAGCAGTCAGGGACACAGGGCAGACTGGCCCAGAGAGTGGATCCTCTGAAGGTCCTAACTGTTATTTAGGACAAACACAGGCCCCGTTCATAAGAAGGGTTCTCTGAGCTTATCCTCAGAAGACAAATGCCTCCCAGCTCCATGCCATGTAGAAGCCACTCACGCTGTAGGAAAAAGGAAACTTTTAATGATGCCAACTACTGAGAAGCCACTGCTAGCCCAGCCAGGCCCCCATGATGCAGAACGTCAACCAATATCAAGAAGATCCACCCCCATGAGGGTTTTCAAGATGACTGTGCCACCAACAACATCCACAGCGGCGCAGGACTTCACCTGACAGCACAATGCCTTTATATCCATCTCCAAACTGATATATCCATCTCCAGACTGATCTGTCCAAGCAATCAGACAACCAACCTACAAAAACCAACACAGGGCAGCTAACGGAGAAACCCCAGTATTATCATCTTCAAACCTGAGTGCAAAAATAAACTTGACTTGCCCATCTTTAGCACAGAGCAGCAAGTATATCTTAAAAACAAGCTACCCCACCCACCTGTAAAGAAGAAAGGTCACCAAAATAATACTCTGAATACAGGATTCTTCCCCTGAGAAAGAAATTAACAGCTCGTGATATGTAATAACATCCTTTAGTGCCTGTCATACAGAGAAACAACAGCTCTGGTAAGGGCACAGTAAAAACTGCTGCCACCATCACTCTGTGTCGTTGGAAAGGGCACCACCTATTGTCGAGCTACCTGATATGTTCCACCAGCAGACACAATATTTAATTATGCTTTAATAATCTGGGCTGAAAATTTCTGTTTGCCTCCAGCAATATTTTTATATTACCACACTTCAATTGTCAGTCTTAAAGTTCAAATTATTTCCCTAAGTAAGGACAGAGAAAAATATTCCATTTCTTATATTTAAATAGGGAGAAAGACTCTCAGAAATCCCCAGAGTGCTGTTGAGGAGCTGGAAGCAGAGAGGAGCTCAGGGCTATTCCAGGACTCAGAGGAAATAAGGGCATGAACTGAGACAGAGGCTAGTGAATCAGGATGGACTGTTTTAGCAAGGGTAGGAGTTAAGCTGGGTCTCCACATTGAACTGCAGTCCTGTCTCCAGAAAGAAGGCAAGTCCACCAGCAGTATCTCCACTTTAAAACATCACAACTTGAGAGACTAATCCCCAAGCTGGTCCTTGAATCACACTGCCAGAAGGAAGTCCTGTAAGGAAGGAGCATACAACCAATAAGGCATTCACCAATGTTGTGGTCTAGTAACTGTGGCTCGGGATCAGCCATGTCAGATCTAAAACAAGATCTGCCAAGCTTTCTGTGTTCCCCAAACCTGCTTTCCCTGCTCTCTTGAACAGCTTGTGTGTTAGGGCTTTGCTGTGGAAATGCACAAGGCTGACTTGTTTCTGCAGCAATCCAAGCTACAAGGCAATTAAGTCATAGGAACAATTCTGCAGGGGTCAATTTGGGTCAAAGCCAGTTGTCCTTAAACTGAGCTAATAAAATAGGCTGCACTCTAGCCAGCACTTTGGTCTCAGGTGTCTTTCTGCACTTCCAGGACAACACAAAGGAATATCTGCATCTGACCAGAATAGAGCAGGCTTGGGAAAAGCCAGACAGGCTTACTTAGCTCCGAATCCACAACAGTACAGAGTTGTGCTTCCTCAGGATCCAGCCTGTCACTGGCCCTGACCTAAAGGGTCTTGCTAAATCAGGTCTATCCAGAACACTTCCCTCCCCCAAATTCCCATGATTCCAGTGGTCAGACTGGCCTCTCTAAAGTACACCACTGCTCCACTCTCCCATAAGTAAGCTAGGCTGGAATAGCATATTTTCAGCTACTTCAGGCCAAAAAAAAAAAATCTGACACCATGATCCTCATTTTCAGTAATGTGAGCATTCAGCTCCCACTTGCAACACTGAAATTCAGGCCACAACTCTGTTCCTTTTTATGCCTGCAGATGGTTGCTTCATCTCCCTACAGATGGTATCCTGAAGCCAAGGCAAGTGGCTTTCATGAAGAACTCCAAGGCTACTATTTGACAAAATCTGATACAATCTGAAGCCTGGTTTTCCAAGGAAAGACAGAACGCTATAATTGTGGCAAAAAATCTTTATTAAACTAGATTTTGTAAATTCCTTTTCACATTAGAAATTCCAAATGCAGATTACAAAATTATTTCAGTAAAAAATGAAAGTTAAAGTTAACAGCAAAATTACAACTTTATACAAATAAAAAAATCATTTTTTATTTTAATTTAAAAATAGAAATTTATATCTTCCAATATACTTACTGGTCCTAACAGCTTTTACAAGTGGTAGCTGCAGTACTAGGTCTTTTCACATGCATATTCACATATAGTCATTTAATCCTCTGCACAATTTATTTAGCTGAAATAGCATGAACAGTTGGGTTTTGGTTGGGTTTGGGGGGGAGGTACCACATGATATTAAAAGCAAAAGCCAAAATATCTTGAAATATTTTTTAAAATAACATTTTTGCCCTACTACTTTCACAATCAACTGAAATGTTTTTCAGCGGTCACATTACTTCAGACAACTTTTTGCATTGCACCTCTGGGTCTTTTTTTTTTTTTACTGTAAGATCACCCATCAATGTTAGCACAAGCATTAATTTTGTACAATAAAAACAGGATAATTTTCCTAAATTAAAATGTGGGATAACTATTAAAATGTTTTGTAAAAAAGACACCAAAAGTCATATATTAAAGTCATCACAATCACATGCTGCTGAAGAACAGAATAAAAAGTGGTACACAAAATAGGTATTTTAACAGTCACACATTATTTTAGAGTGCTGGTGGCAATACTGCTGTTTTAATTAAAAGTGTAAGATGATACAGAATTTACATGATACTTCAGGATTCTCACTGATGTAACTGTAAAAGACATCAGAAAGGCTGGAACTTCTAAAATGTAACCTACTTTAAAATACCATTTGGAAACAATTATATTTCATAGAATTTGTCACAGAATACATTATAAAACCAGTCAGAGAATACAAGATCTCCAGTGTTGTGTTTCTGGAATACTGGCAAGTAGCTGAAGGCATGAAGATTCTTACTGATAAAACTCTACTTACTTAGATCCTTACTGATAAAAATCTACTTACTAACTCACTGTGCACTAAACTCCTTCTCCATTCTGCATCAAGCTCAGCACAGCTTTTAAGCACATGCTTGAGATCCTAAAAAAGAAAAAGCTTGAGCTCATCATATTTTCTCTGAGTTGGAACTGCAGTGCCTCATCTTGAATTGCTGAAGCTGACAGAGGCTCTGTCACTATTTTCAATAGAGGCAAGATTGGTTCTACCCATGTTACAATTTTAAACCATCATCTTCCATCAGAGTTCAGCTGGTAGTCAAACAACTTATACTAGGTGAATGATCAGCCTATAACCAGACAGGGTTTAGTAAGTAGAGCACTCTAGCGAACCTCAACCTGTACCCAAAAGGACAATTAAAAGAGGAAGAGAGAAAACTACCCCAAACTGCTCTTAAGCTGTGAATTTCTCTGTTGACTTTTGACAGACTGAAAAAAAATTCTCCAAGCAATGGGTGGAGCAATGGAGGTTTTGCCCGGAACATTTTAAACATATTTATCCAAATAGGACTATGGAAGGACACTGAAGCTCAGCGGGGACAGCTGCTTTTCTGAAAAGTCCTGGCCCATTTCCAGAGACTGTTTATGCACTTTTAATTCTTCAACCTCATTTGTCCCCTTGATCTTGCACTCTTAGCTTGCAGTGGCGATTTTGAAAGAGGCTCAGGAAGTGGCGACTTCAAAAATAGTCCCGAGCACATTGGTCAGAGCATTTTCTGGGGAAGTGAGAGTCAAGTGCCACCATTATCATCCACTTGTGAAGCCAGAAGGCAAAAAGCTGAGTGTTTCTTATCTCCAGGGTAAAGTTGTCAACTAGATTATGATGAACAGATGGACAAGACAACAACTCTTTCTGTTCATCTTTCAAAATAAAATCTAAGCTGTCTTTGTTCATGTCGGGAATGGTATGAATATGCTTGAATGAATCAGGCTCCCTCCCCAAAAAACCAGAAGTGTTGGTACTTTCCTGTTTACAAGCACATCACTGTAGGGCTTGGGCATCCAGAAGCTCAACACGCAACAGCCACTCAGGTCAATCAACAGGGTTGGTACTTCAAAGAGCTGTCCCAGAGAGCTGTACCTTAATTTGTTATAAACAGTAGCACTAAGGAAAACCTGTTCAGGAGCACAAGGGACAGCTCTTGGTGAAAAATAAAAATCCTAGCTCTGCTAGGACAAGACAGCTGATAGTCTGAACTGTTGTCTTGAGGCCAACTGCCTAAACGGCACCTCAGTCCATTTTAGGCACTGTCACAGAGGATGAAGCGTGGGCTTCACCACACAGGACATCGTGCAGTGGCAGCACTCTGCTAGTGCTGTTTGGGGGACACAGGTCTTTTGAATTTCACCACTGGTGACCAGAGCAGGCCAGAGAGAAAGAAACAGAGAAAGGACACAATTCAGATGAACTAAGTACCCACAAAAAATATAAAACTTATTATGGCAGTCTATTATTTTAGAAAGAGTCCCTTTGATTAAGTATTATTCAAGCTACTCTTCCACTTGAAATCACCATGAAAACATTATTATATCTGTTGAAGCATGACAAACTCATTTTTAAGTCTACTGTGCATTACACTCACTGTGTATGTATCGCAGTAAACATGGGTATTCAGGAAACACCATGTCTTTCAGCTTGTCAGCAACTTATACAGACACATTTTCAAGTGAAATCTATTTCCGTGGACAGTTTTTCTCACAGAAGTTCCTTGCTTATTAGTACCCATGCACACAAATGGCAGAACTTGCACACACATATGGATTCATACACAAACTCTTATGTGCATGTAGGTCCTGCAAAAGTGGTTAAAAACTTTAAAAACACTCCCATTAATCTTTAACCTATTAATATTATTCCTAATACAAAACTCAGACCTGTTCTGAAAAAGCCTTAAAACAAAATTAATATTTTAAGAATATGAATATTTCAAGAGGCAAAGATGTAAATAAAAGTAGTAATGCATTCTAGAAGATATTTCTATTTTAAAAAGTGTTCTGATTGTCTACTGGAAACATTTGCCAAAGTACAGATGTTTATATTTCATCGTGGAGAGGTTTTGTTTGCAGTTTTTCTATGTTGTTTTGGATTTTTTTTTTACATAGGTATTTCTAGATGCTTATGCCACACCACCAAAACCAGAACTTTTGTACTCTCAGACTTTCCAGTTAGGCAATTACCAGTGCAGTATAAGCATTCACTTTGATGTAAAAAATACATTTAAAATGTTTCACAATCATATTTTCTACAAGGAAACCAAACTTAATACACAGAGAATGAAGACATCACTGTTAGACACAGTGAAAGAGTACTCAATGTGGTTCACTTAAAAAGCCATAAAATAAGAAACACTTTTAATCCAGTAGATGGTAAGGGCAAAAATGTAAGGGCATTTCCTGCAAAATTACAGTATTAGCCATGTGTAAGAAGAGACTGAACTACAGCATTGTGTGTTTCCCTTTAACAAACCACACTAAGTCTGCAAAATTACCAAACATGGAGCTGGCCTTAATGCACAGGCCATTATATGCAACTTCCAGACTTGAGAGAAGTTTAGAATGGAATAAAGACAATAGAACTGGTCAACCCATCACAACATAACCACTAAAGCAGACTTTTGAAGAAACCTGGAAATATTTAGCACTCAGCTGTAACTGTATTTGAAATATCAGTAGTTGCCCAGTTTCACTCTCTCCTTTTGTTCTTCTGAAGGGTTGAGCACAAAGTTCTGAATCACAAAATAACTGTACAAGGTACTATGTTTTAAAAGCACAGAAGTCACGGCAATCAAAATGTGTGAGGGTCAAAAGAAATAGATTAGGTATGCTGAGAAGACAGTTATATTTAAAAATCATACCTTAACTTCCCTTTAAGACATCACGTATTTCTCAGCAAAATTCTTGATCTATATTTCTGAGACTTCAAATCCCTTAAGTATCTTCTTTTTTTGCAGGTTCAAAAAAGGATCCATTTCACACAAAAATTTTATTGGAAACATTATGACAAAACCACTTACTGTAAATTGAAGTAATTTCTAATAAAATATCATCCTTTAAAACAGATTACAAAATACTAGTAGAGTTGTTCAAAACATCGGTCTTTTTTCTGTAATCTGGATGTAATCACACACCTCAGTTTCTATATTCCTCTTCTCCACAACTCCTCAAATGAGCATGACTTTCAGGCAACCTGGTTTTATTTCTGTGAACCTATAAAACAAGAAAAAATGAATCTTCACCATGAAAGCTATGTGCAATGCCATCTCCTTCAATCTTCAAACATATGGAAAGTGGTAAGGTTCTCAGTCAAGGATACGTGCATGTGAGTCAAGAAATCAGCACTCGAATGTGACAGTAAAGGAGGATTTTACAGAATCTGGAGATGCAAAGAGCTGGAAATAGCAGAAACTAAGATAAAAATTTAAGAAAAAGCTGCCCAGTATTCTTGGTTATATTCGTTCTGCTCCTCTATTCCTGCTTCCCATTCACTCCCTCTTCTTTAAAAATGGATTTTAACTCTTGTATTCTGTAGAAGGTAAGAAGGAAACAGGGACAGAAGTCTATGTTATTTTTGAGTCACCTTCACAAAGTGCTCTAGAGAAAAAGCAGCAAACACACTGATGCTGGCCCAGACTTGCTAAATTGCTATTCCCCATAAACTGAGCACTAAGGCAGGTATTGAGAACCAATAAAAAGCAGGATTAACAACTTTTCACAGTAAAGACAGCAACCTTGAATGGAAATATGTAATTGAACTATCTCAGAGGAAAGGATCTAACATGTAATAGGTGCCCTGTATAAAGTGCTATTGTGTCACATGATTGCACTGCATTTGTGAAACAGTAAATTTACTTTAATCTGAAACAGCACACCTGCCTTCATCTCTGATATTGCTTAATAGTATTCTAAAACTAACTTCAATTTTCAGTTAGTTAAATGTGGGTTGAGAAAAAAAAATGTATCGGTAACAAAAATCTAAACTCACCTGAAGTTGTGGGTTGTGAGGTATCTGATAGCTGCTGGTCTGATGCGAGCAACTCCTCCCTGACTATGGCTTCCTCTTCCCGTGATAACAGTGAGATATGGTTTACCACCAGTCTGCTGGTGCTCTGTAACAGCAGGAATTGTAACAGTTAAAATTTTCCCTCAGCAGAGTTGGCATTTAGTATATACCTTCAATGCATTCTTCTGAAAACTCTCACTACTGATTCAGAACCTTGCTTTGCCATGCTGGCTATGCATGTTTTATGTAAAAATAGCCATTTTTCCCCTGTTCTAAAAAAGATACTTTGAAAAACAAACATAGTCAAGCTTTTTAAATCTAGATTGCTTGCAATATGCATGTTGTGATCATCACAAAATCCTTCTAATTTCATAGCAGCTTTACTGTTTCTGTCATCTAATACTTAATTGGAATTTACATCCTGTGACATGAATTTAAATTGCAAAATTAAAAGAGGTGAGTGTAATTTACTCAATTTTTAAGTGACACTATTGTTTCATATTGTATCTTAATGTGAATAAAGAAATATCATTTTATTGAATAAAGAAATTAAGAAGAAAGAAAATATAAATCCAGCATTTTTGACATTTAAGTCACACTTATTTGGATTATTTTCTGCTATGCTGGAGCATGATCAACAGATCAAAACATTCCATGAGCTGTATCTAGCCCTGATAACAAAAGAAATTGCTCTCTTCCCAGAGATAACTTCTGAACCTCAACTGATGAAGAGTTTGAAAAAGAGGAAAAAAATATATTAAACTGGATTCTCAAAATGAGCCAAGATTTGCCAGTTTGGAACTATCAGTTCTCATGACATCTTTCCTCAACTACTCCCTCTCTCTCTCTTGCATAACTTTATTTAGGTTTTATATCAGTTTACTGTCAGCAAAAAGTTCCTAGTATTGACCTCTTTCCCATGTCCATACACTGAAATTAACTTTTTTTTTAGATTTAGGTGAATGGACTGCACAGAGAGCCACTACTATCAATTCCAGGACTCGTGATGTAAATGCAGTTCTGGAAATTTAGCTCTAAAAAGCATTAGGTTAGAGCTTAAATTACACAAATATCACTGCAAGAATAGCACAACATAATGCAATTTATTGCATATTGAAAGAAAAGGATTATCTAAGGCCCCACTGAACAATTTTGTTTATACTCTGTGGAGTAGCAGATTCAAAAAATCAGGTTTGTGCAGTAGTATGTTGTGTAAGAAATATTTCTTATAAAAGCATTCCCAGTGTGCTTAAAGTTATAGGGTAAACTAGCAATGCAGAAAACGTATCTTTTTACAGCAAGTACACTCATGAAGGACTTGAACACTCTACTGGAAGAAAAAAAATGAGCCCTCAAGCAAAATTGCAGAAAATGACAGGTCTGGAAGCAGCAGTATTCTGATCTCAAGAGATCCTGCCGACAAACTGATAGGGAAGTTTCTGAAAGATGGCTCGAATCACACACTTTCATGTAAAAGTTCAAGTCAATATAATCATTGTGGTTAGAATTCCAACATAATAATTTTTCTTTAAAGATTAAGAAAGCAAAGTATTGCAAAGATGACAAAAATGTTTGCATTATCACCTCAGTCAAAAATATCAAGAAGGACAGACCATACCAAAAAAAAAAAAAAAAAAGATAAAACAGAAGAAAGATTTTCAAAGAAGTACAGGGGTTGGGAGTAGGGTGCAAGACAGAAAAAAGCAAGAATCATTGTCATGTCAAAGAAAAACAAACCATGGGTACTTTGAAAATAAGACAGCACAAAGACTAGTTGTTTTTAACACACGTTATTAAATTAAATTAATTTCCTCTAATATTGCCATGAATCATGATTTCTTAGTAGAAAATGAGGAGAATAATTCTTAGGGAGTAAGAATTATTATCTAAACCCTACCTTCACTTTTTTCCTGCAGCACTCTGGACAACTGATTCACAGCTTCATCCACGTGGAGACCATGCAAATCCAACACATTCATAGGCAGCAAGGAAGAATTTACTCTCTCAAAGATTTGCACAGCAGCAGCATGGTTGGCTTCCTTCATCTTCTGCTCGTGAAGGCGACTCTTTATTCATAAGCACAGTAGTGACTATTACACACCAAGACATAATCTAAGCTCCACACTGGTCATTGGTTTCAAAATGATAGGACTGGCGGGGTGCTTTTAGCTCACGGTTTGAAGCAGTAAAATTTATAATTGCAACAGAACTTCTGCAAGAGGCTCAGTGAGACCTACTAAAAAGGGGATTTCATGAGACCTGTTCATAAGGAACTACTCAAAGCTGGCACAAAGAAGGAATTGTAACAAAAGCCTTACAAGGAAAAAAAAATGCCAGACAAGGCACATAACCATAAGGTCTTTACATAAGCTAAAAAGTTACACTCCATGCTGAGTTTCAGATTTATTCTTATAACAGCAGATTTTTATTTTCTGCAAATATTTTGCTAAAATTGTAATGAAACAATGTCACAGAAACTGCCCAATAGCTAAGGAAAAACCTGTTGACTGTTATATTTGAGGTTAAGTCTTCTGAACGCATTCCCCTAAATTTCAGACAAGCCAAGAGTAAATGCTCTTTTTTTTTTTAAATAGTTGTCTGTTATCTCTCCTAATACTTTTGACAGATCTTTTATGATTGACAAGGTCAATATAGCCCCTTCTGGAACGAGGGCCAAGAAGCAGTACAAAGTTAGTCATCTTACAGAGTAAACAACTACCAACTACTTCCCATGAACCTTGCAGTGATAAAGTCTGAAAGATCAAAGCAACAAATTATGGCCTTGAAGATCTGCAGGCACAGTCTGAAAAGGAATGGAAGACTTAACTCCAGGTATTAGACTGACACGGGCTCAAGAGAACAAAAGTGACAGTCTGTCTTACACTTTATTTAAATGGATTATCTGAAGTGTATTAGTGTCAGAACCAAGACACCAGCTCTGTAACTCTCACTTGCAGAGGATTCTCAAGACAAAGGCCACCAAGCATAAAGTATTTTTCATGAATAAAGGTAGCTTAGTTTGCCTTTTTATTACCTAAATGAAAGTGTATAATAAATGCATTTCCAGATTGTATTTGTTCATATGGCTAAGAACAGAACAAAAGAGAGGACTTGAAATTAGATTTCTATTAAAAATCATGGAGACCTTTGTTTAGAACTTCTAAAAGCTTCAAGAATGTATGAATAAAGAACATAAGTTCATTATAAAGACTGATAATCAGTATTTTCTACATGCACAGTAACAATCTAAACATTCAGAGTTATACCATTTATATGAGAGCTTTTTTAATAAGCAAATTCAAGTGATTTATTATTACATTTTTTCTGTATAATGCAATTCATAGGTTAGAATTAAATGCCTCTATAATGTGAATTCTTACCAAATTTTTATATGCTGTTAGATCAGGGAAAAACTGTTGCCTTTGAAGACATTTGTAACAGAATTTTTAAGAGTGGTGTGAATAGAAGGGTCTCCTGTGAAGGCACTAGGAAACCAGTGTACAGGAACGCTGGTTACAAGAACAGTTGATAATTAAAATCAAGAATATGATCAACTGCAATGATCAGCAGTAATCAAACTGGTACATACAGAGAAATGTGGCTGAACAAGACCAGAGAGCCTGTGCTCCAAGGCTAGAGCACACAAGACTAATCAGCAGCAGATCTACATGCCAAAACCAGATGAATTGTGAAAAGCCTAACATGCCCCACCTCCTTTATCCCAACCCAAGACTGACTGTAGCCATAAAGACAGACAAAATGAAGAAGCAAAGACAGCAGGCAGCAATCTTGCCCAAGATTTATGGTGGATGAAACAAGTGTGATTCTGTGGCAAAAGATCACATCTTAATACCTGTCTGACTCCTAAAAAGTACAAAAAACTAAAAACAGTTCAGCACCAATTAAGAGGAACCCAAGAGACATACAGAGGATTCAAAAATTGATGTTTGTTGCAGTACATGTCATACCCCAGTGAACCTGGCCAGATCCCATGGACACAAATTTTGGTGCTTACAAGTTTGTGGATGTGAGAGAGATCTAGGACAACAGAACATATGTGACTAAGCACTAAGTATCACCTTTCATGAGGTCTCACACTGAATTTGGTTACGTAGCTTCCTGTGCCAGTATCAATTCTATGAAAGGGAGTTTACTTGTAATTGTCACTTATAACAATTACACAGGGAACAGTAACTGAGCAAATGTGTCAACTCTAGTAGGCACAATGTTTTCCTTATCACTGCCAATTCAGTATTTAAGTACCTCCCTAAATTCAGACAAAAAGCACAATATTTAAGTTTACCTGATGTGCATAAAATGCTGCCACAGGCTTCATACCCATCCGATAGGCCTCCCCAGCCTTTTTCAAACATTCTTTTCTCTTTTGCTGGTGACAAAAAGCTTCTGCTCTTAAATCATCATATTGTGGATACTCAAAGTCTTGAAATATTTCACTCAAAGGATCATCCTCTTCCTTACATTTTTTTGCCTGTAGGAATTTGCAATGTTGAACATAAGTATGCATTGTAGGGTGTTTTCATTAACATAGCTTTGGATATCCTTATAAGTTCTATTTAAAAAAAATAAAAATACCTTCTTCTCCCGGTTTTTTGCACTGTAAGAAGTAACAATTTCATTTTGCTGAACATTTTCTTGAGCTATAACTGTTTTTACAGGATCTGCCTCCAGGACACAGTTCAGAAACTGTTCAGTTTGTTCTAAAGAGTAGCTGTAAAAGATAAGTAAAATCTGTGACCTCACTGTCAGAGACTGAAACAGTTAAAGATTTACACATTCTAAGATTACCAAAAGACTTTTGCAAACTGAAAAGAAGCAGCTGCTCACCCAGCAAAGCCCACCCCTCCCTGAATACTGCCAAAGGACCTTCTGATCAGATAAGTGGGTGCCAGTGTCCCATATCCTGGGTGCAGATGCTGGTCTGAGGAAGGGAAGAGGCTAAGAAGAAGCAAGTCCTGCAAAGCAGGAAAATCCCTTTTATCATGCCAATGTCCTCATCTAGCCTGGGCTGTGCATCTCAAATGCTGGACCAGGACTGATGCTGGCACAATAGGCAGCTGCAGCTGTCTTTGGAGATGTCAGAGGCTCATGGCATGGTCCCGTGACACTATACATTCTAAAACTCCCCACCCCAGGGAGGTACAAGGCATTCCCACCTGAGCTGGAAGTGTATAGTAACTCATAACATCTTTGAGTTGTGGGGGGGGTTTCCCCCAACCCCAATGGACCAAGACCACCACTTCAACCAACAGACATGGAAGCTGCAACTACCAAGTTTCATTGTTGGACCCAGTGGGCAGTGACTGTATACTTCTTTCCACCCTTATCCTTTCTTTCCCTTATGCATTTCTTTAAGTGTTACCTTTATGCTTTATTGCTATAGATGTTATGCTTTAACAATGCTTTATTGACATAGATGCTTTAATACTGCTATGCTTCAATAGTGCTATATTGCTATGCTTTAGTCTACAGATGCTTTAGTATTAACAATGCCATATTGCATAGATGCTCTAATATTGCCATGCTTTAACAGTGCTATATTGCTATGCTCTAATATTGCTTTACTGCTATAGATGCTTTAATATTACTATGCTTTAATAGTACTATATTGCTATGCTTTAATGTTGCTATACTGCTGTATAGATGATAACATACATACAGATGTTGTATTGCTGTAGAATGATAACACCCAACATGGCAACATACCTGTTTACCTTCGAAACAAAATTGTTCTAAAATAAACCCTACATATATATGTTTACAAACCCTGATTATTCAGTGTCCTTTCAGTCTAATCCATCTCATGAGATTTATTCATACGCACCTGGGTTACCCTCCCATTTCTGGGGCGGGTCACAACACAAATATATAGTAGGTGCTATATTTAACAAAAGGCATATTACAAACCTTGATATTGTTACAGAAATAGACTACATTGGAAATAAAGCACTGGAATGGAATATTCCACTGGAACAGAATATTCCACCTTATTGCAAAAAGGCTTGCAGACTTCCTGGCATTACTGGCGTCAACATACATGCAATCTTGGTTGACTGAATCGTAATTGAGGGGCACTTGAATATTAAAAGGAAAATGACATACTAAAGTAAATTGCATCCTACCTTGATCAAAGAGACATAAGTAAATGCTGCTTTTTGGGTTGGATAAGATACTTTATCTTAAATCTTCTCTGGTCAGGGTTAGATAATACATACTAATTTAAAACTAGCTCAGTTTTCTGAAACTCTTATGAAGGAAAATCCCTGTATTTTTAGTCAAGCTTTGTTATTAAATTTAATTAAATACTACATCAGCTGCCATCAGCTTTCTAATAAGCCCTCTTCTTTATTCTTGCTGTTCAGTAAGCTAACAAGAAAAAGACTGATCAAGAGTAAAGACAGATTCTGGGAAATGCAACACTATGAAGAGAATTTCGAATGTGAAAAACAAGAGATGGTGAAATGTATGAGCTATAGAGATGGATGAAGGACATATTTTAAACAGGAAAGATTTTTATAACAACCTGGACAAGCAGAATGACTGAGAGGTAGGCATGCAAACCCATGTGTAGAGACAGACACTCAAATGGTTGGGGATAAAAAAAAAGACATTTCTTTCCAAAAAAATTCAGTTCTCAGAGAAGTTCAGTTCTTGGATTTAAGAAGGTAGACATGCACCCCCGAAATATATTGCAAAAGAGAGAATGTCAGCAGGAAGAGATGAAGATCATTCCTTCAGAGCTGCTGTAGTAGCCAGGAAAGTACTCACAGCTAACATCAGGTGATGGTACTTTTCCTCTTGGGCAGATGACATTTTAACTTATTATTACCACACCCACTAATTTCTCCCACTTGATTTAAATCTCAGCTCTAGAGCAAATATGCAGTTACACTGACAATCAGCCAGTGGTCAATAGCCAGAGACATTCTTCTCCCAGTGAAAGAAACTGTCTGTTCTCCCCCTCCACAAAAAAAACCCAAACAAAAACAAATCTACACTGAGAGTTTTTATGCCCTTTTTGCCTTTAAGACCACCTAATTTTGCCTTTATTTAAATTACCAAAAAGTGTGCTAGTTTGTAAAAAGCCATTTTTTAGCAGTATCTTAACTCTTTAATATTTAAGACAGCAAATGTGCACTACAGAATGTTACTGAGTACCATTTTCACAAAAACCTTTAAAGATTTCTTACTTGTTGTCCCTGAAGATATCCATTAAGAAACTTTGATTAATAGTTGGAAACATCTCAAAAAGTTGCTTCTCCTTTAGTTTAGCAGCACAGTCTTTTCTAGCCGTAGAAGGAACACGATTCTACCCAGAAGACAAAAGAAAAATATTACAAGTTCTTGATTAGAAAAAAATATCATAACAGGGGAGCCAATCAACTTTACTGTTATTTGTTAAGATTTAAAAAATATCTACTCAGTTGGTATGCACCCACAGCAATGACAACATGCCAGTATCAGCCTGCCACACTGATCAGCATAAGGAAGGACAGGTGAGTTCTATTATACACCACTGCAGTACTCTGCAATCATTTGAAGTTATGCAGCTGGAGCTCCCTCATAACTTGGAAAAAGTAAAAGGAGGATTTTTTTAGGAGGAACTTAGGTTTTGGAATTTATTCCCTACTAGTCTATCTAGTCCACTGCTAAGCTTGTGCAAAGTCCACCTCTCTTCTCTATACTGAGGGCCTGGGATTGAAACAACATTTTATTATTAAGCAGCCTAAACAATTTTGGTTTGCTGTATCTGAAGCTGTACTGTAATATTCTTATTTGTAAAGTCATCTGAGAAGATGACATAGTTATAACTCAAAATAAATCAGACTCATCATTCCAATATTGATTTAAAAAAAATAAAAAAAAAAGGGGTCAAAATAAAGCCAAGCTCCATGAATTCAAACTGAAAATAAAGCTGCAGATACGACACTTGTTTTTATCAGTAGGACACATACACACAGTTCAAAGAAAGAATCCATAAGCCATTTTTCAAAGTACAGGCTAATCCGGCCAACTTTCTCTACCAGTTCAAAGCTCCTCTATTTTAGGACAGCTGCTTATCAGAGACAACTACAAACTAAAACGCCTACTCTGACCACCAGTGGGGCAGCAGAGGGCAGTATCAGGCACAGGCCAACAGGCAGGGTATGGGAACTGTGTAGAAAATAAAGAACCGGTAAAGATCTATTAAAAATTTACTATATTCTGACAGAGGGTACAGAATTGCTTGAAATTAACCTCAAGTACTTATTTCAGTGTCTCATCTGCTAGAAGTGTTGTAGGTTCTCCTTACAAAACATTAAAATCAATTCAATACACTTTTAAACAAACAAGGCATGGAGCCAATTAAGAACTTTTTTTGATATTGCTGTCACAATCAAAAGCATGGCAAATCACACTGCTCTTTGCTTTTGGGTGAGCAATCAAAAAAGATTCAACCAAACAGAAATGCTAACCTATACAGTGAAATGTACCATGATCTGTTTGTGAAACAATCAAAATACTTCATTCTAAATGAGACTATTTTTCAAACAGAACCATCTACCAAAAGCAAACTCCTGTATCACAGTAACCAACAATACTAATTGGCATGCATTTGTCTCACAAATTCAGGCTGTAATTCGCAGCACAAATATGAGTCACCAGAGTCACACTCTGTTTTATTACTGGTAGTAAATCTAAACTGCATAAAAAACAGGCACTATCCATACCATGTCCTGTCTCTCCTGCATAGCTAGTTCTTCAGAAATTATTTGCCTGAGAGAAACTTTCTGAATCTGAGCATTCCAGTGATCCATAAAAGGAAAAACGTCTGATGTTGCTGTTTTTTTCATCTGTATGTCATTAGATGTGCCTGAAGCCCAGCTCATTTTTTTCTTCTGTATTTTACTGTCTGCATTCTGAGATAGCAGCATTTCTGAGTCATCTGTATCTATTTGCTGAATCAGAGTAGGACCTTCAAAAGCAATAAAAATGAGGTGACAAATAAAATACTTATTAGCTTATATACAAGCAATGCCAAAATAATTAAGACAAGTTTTTTAACCTAGACAGTTTGAGTTTTGTTAAAAGAAGATTATTAATGCTAAAACAGAAACCAACACATTGTTTTCACCTTCCTCACTTCCATTTTACAAAGACTGTCTGATCATCTTTATCTACTTTGTGAAACAAAAGCAAACAATCATACTTCCTCACCAAATTTTCAAGTGTTAAGACGTATCTTACAGCTGTAAACTACCCTGTAGATACCTTAAGTTTGTGTGTGGAGTTGTTTGCTTTTATAAGAGAATCTGGGTTTACACTTCTACGAGTTAATAGCAACAGCTGAATGAAAACTGGGTTGCCAGAGATGTTAACACTTTTTGAACAAGGCATCCACCTTCCTGCTACAATCATCTTTGACAAGAACAACATGTGAATGTTGCATTTCTGACCTCCCTCCCTCATCTGCAGAAATCTTACTCTGCTAGTAATTCTCTGACCACATCTTTTCTTGTCACAGATATTACAGAAGTCACCAAACAGCTGTCTGGTTCAGCCAGAGATTCTTTTTAAGTTGTCTGAATTACACAAAATGATAGGCTCTTTGCTTGCATCTACCTGGTACTAGTGATTCTGCTTATAATTAACCTCTCTCCCCTCCCCCACACCTCCACAAGAGAAAGGTAAATGGATCCAAGGGCAATATAGTTTAGCTTAATAAATGAATCCATCATTTTTCAGACAGAATATTTGCATCCTTGCTTAAGTTTCAAAGAATTAAATATTTTTATAATGAGACCTAAGTATTTTTACAATTAAGAAAAATATACAACATACCTTCTGCAGACAACTTACATGATTCATCTCTCCTCTGACGCTTCTAAATAAAAATAGTAAAATCATTAGAGTTATAAGTTATAGATTTCACAGCAAAACTTCAAGTAAACTTTGAAGTTTCTAAGTAAGCCAGCTACAAAATAAGATCTCACAGTATTTCCCAAAGATTCAATATTTTAAAAGAAGTATATTTAAGAAAAGTAATTATGAAGTGGAATTTATAAGCTAGAATTATCTTTCTGAAAATACAGACTAGAGGAATATGCCCCACTGCTAAGACTTCATAACCTTAATTAAATAAACCAAACAAAAATTTTACCCCCAAACACTCAAAGTTTCATATAGCTATGAAGGAACACAGGTTGGAGAACTCATCTCAATTAATGCACATGGAGATGTTCTGTATACAGAATAATTAATAAAAGAATTCTTTTTACATGTCAAAAAAACAATAATAAGTTTTGGCCAGTGGAATTTTCGATCAATTTGGAATGAAATTGTGCACTATCATCCTTCTTTTTTAAGAATCTCAGTTTCACAATGAGGCACTCGTGACATACCTTAAACTTTCAACAGCGTTGATTGTTATGACATACTGATATACTCCACATATTTTAAATTACTATTATATTTTATCATTGTCCTTACACATTTAGACCAAGAAATATGGAGATGAATGGTCTGATAAAGCACAAGTGTGCCATACTACATCACAAGCAAGAAATCTACTAACCAGAATAGATTCTTTCCATTTTTCATGAATCACTTTTGCCAAATTTAGATCAATGTGAACCACACAATCCTCAACAGTCAGTGATCCTTGTGGAACAAAGAAAATATATTCATTAAAGCATTCTACAAAACTTAGCAATTAAAGTACAATAGCCAGGACTTATAAATTCTAGTTCTGGAGATTCTGCATAAACTGTCAGGCTTGAATAAAACCTGCAACTGCCAAGTTCAACAACAAAAAAGCATTCCACAGAAATTGTTATCTGGTGTTTAAAAACTCAGAAAGGGTAGGAAAAAAGCAAGTTAACTTTAATTGTATATTGTTGAAATGTGACTACCCGAACAATGGCGGTTTTTCCTTTTTTCCATTTTTCTAGCAAAACCTTCTTTTACAAAGCCATTGTTAATTTACAACAGTTTCATTCGTGAAACTGTGACTCCCCCATTCCACTGCAATCCACATGGCAACTGCTCTTCTGTGCCACAACATACCCACCACAGCCCAACATCAGTCACATCCCTTCTTTCAAACACACAAACTCAGAGAGTCAAATTCCAAATATCACCTCTAATTCTAAAGAAAATGGCAGGAATCGTCATGGTATCAAAATGATACATCTTTTCCCTAAAAGATCTTTCTGATACTGTTTCTCATCCTTTCAAAACTAAAAAAGCAAGAAGTACATATGTGTCAAATAAAAATGCAGGGCATATTTCAGACACAATAGAACACTTTTCTGCCATAGGAAACAAACTTTTTCTTTTGATGAGGTAGGCATGGAAGGCAAAGAGGCCAGCAGTCAAACCCACCAATAAATCAGGTATCTGGGGTATCACATCAAGTAATCTTCAGGATAAAAGAGGAAAAAAAAAAAGAAATAAAAAGGGGGGGGAAAGAGAGAGAAAACCACCAAGCTGTATATTCCTTCTATTTTCTTCTCTTCCTTTTTCAATCAGTCTGTAACTTTTGAGATGCTTGTTCAAGCTGCTTGTGGCTTCCTTAATCATAATCTCCCAGCAACAGACTAGTCTGTTTTCATCTTTTAAGTACAGCCACACTTCATCTTCTCTCTAAACCATTTATCTTCTCCTTCCCCAACTTTACTGATGTCTAAAGCTTTCTTTTTTCTTTTTTTCCTAATCAGCCACAATTTGCATATTCCTCATCATCTTAATATCTCTTCAGTTTGAATATAGGCTCAAAGGCCTGTTGTTCAAAATGCAAATAAGTCCATGTATTTTCTTAATATTTTAAAGTATGCACATGTACAAAATACAAAGGCAAACGGTAGCATTACTGCATTTATATTTTATGCCACACTTAATTCAGTTCCATTTTTGGATTAACAATAGCAAACAGTATCATGAGGAATTATGCAAATCTAATCCCTAAAACTGAAGCATGAAGGAAAAAAAGCACAGGCAAATAAATAAAGGTTTTCTTACCTAAACCAAGGTTTTTTCATAAAAACACAGATATAATTATGCCCATACCTGCATCAATGCCAACAGGCCCAAATATCTCTTTCAGCTGGAGTGCCAGTTCAGGAGGTAATGTTAGTTCTAGGCAATCTATACTGAAAGCTGCATGTGATGCTGGTACAGGGCTTTGTCTCTTGGCTTTAGCTGCAGACCAGCTTGGACTTTCAACTTCTTCTTTACCACATATCTCCTCAGAACTTTCCCAGGTTTCTTTATCCACCTCCATTTCTTTATCACTCCTAGAACTGACCAGAAGCACATGATCCTTTTCCAGTAAAGAAGCAGTCACTTTGGAATTCTCTGCATTGCCTTCTGAAGGATTAATGTCACTTTCATTATTTAATCCACATTTCAAATTGGTAGAAGTTGTGTTAGGACCATGAGGCAAAGTCACGGGTGTACAGAAGGTTGCATCAAGTTGTAAAAGTGATGGCTTATTTACAGTTTCTTCAGCAAGACTCTCAGACTCCACAGACTGCTTTCCTGAAATGGACAGCTCAGTGACACCTGCTGCTGAGCTGTTTGTGTCGGTTCTAGGGGCTGCATCCATGGAATTTTTCAGTTCCTCTGTATCATTCAGTGAGGTAGCAGTGAATGAGTCAGGTACATCAGCATCTGTCACAGTTGCCTTGGCAGCCCTACTTTCTGCAATGCTGAGTGATGAGTTCTTACCTTCTGAAGCCTCAGAGATACCACCAGTCCCAATCACTTTTGCTGTCTGTTCGCCGTCTCTGAGATTCTCATCACAGTTTGTACTTGCCTTGAAATCAAGGTCTGCGACAACTGGTTCAGCTTCTCTTACCTGAAAGCATTCGGTATCAACAGCTTTGCATAACTTTTCTTCAGAGTCTAACAGCAAACCTGTGGCCCAGTCTATGTCTTTGTTACATCTTTCATAGAGATCTTTCAGAGCTTCAAATGAAACAGACTCAAAGAGCTTACACAGTGTATCCAGCTTTTCAGAGTCATCAATATCGGTAAGTTCACTTTCTTCTACAAATGTACTTTTATCATAAGTAACTCGATATGGTATTTTTTCCTGAGAATCTGAGGCATTATCAATGTGTTTGGGTTTGAAGCCATCTAGTCTGCCATGCAATACTTTGGTAGTGTCAGGAAAAAGCATTTTCTTTTCTAATCTCCAGAGGAGAGCAAAGTCCTGTGATTCAGTCTGTGAATGGCTACTTTTTTGTCTACATAAGTACGTGTCCTGTTTCTCTTCTGTAGTGTTAAGGTTAGACAAGTGGTCCTCTTCTTTGGGATGGGGCAAACTGTTGTTTGTAAAAGTGAGGGCTAATCTGTGATGTTTCTTTGTTCTCTTATTTTGCTGGCTTTTTTCCTCACCTCCTGTTTCACTGGCTACTATTTCATCTTGGTGCATAGGAAAACTCTTTATATCTGGTTGCTCTGCAGTGCTCACGGGTGTCCCACAAAGCACATCTACAGTCTCAAGAGCATTTATGTCAATGTCACCTTCAGGATTTCTACCTTCATCAGACTGATTTGTTGTTTTCATTCTCCTTGACCTTTGTTGTCTCTGTTCTAATGAGGCTGAGATAGGCCAATGTCCTACCATTTGCAATTCCAGTGTAACTTTATCTGAACTAATAGAGGACCAGCTAGAGGCTAGATTTTCTTTCTCATGTCCTCTCTCAACAGTGTATGTCTCAGGCAGGCCCACTTGCTCTTTACCAATCTCAGGATGCTGCTGACTCAGAGTTTCACTTTCCTTATCACTCTTCAGAGAAGATTTTTCTAGTCTTCTAGATCTTTTGACTCTCTGTCCCATTGTTTGTTCTACAGGCCAGTCACCCAGGAAGTTTAGTAGTTCAGGTTTCCCTGACGTGTCAAAAGCTGAACTGCTTGGTTCCACTGTGTTACTAGTTTGTGTTGATTTTGGTTCCATACATATGGAACCCGACTGCTGAACTGCAGGTTGAACATTGACAGTGTTGTTATCGCTGTGTTCCTCAGCTCCTCCTGTATGCAAATTCGCAGTCTCTTCAGCTGTGATCACATCAACATCATCTATTTCTGTTTCAGCATTTTTTTCTACTTTTTCTCCCTTTTCTTCTTTCTTCTCCAAGGGCAGCTCTTTTTCGATGCACTCTGATAAACAGACATCCAAGTCATCTTGAACAGCACTGTTCTCAGAATTGTGTTCCGCTGAGTTATTTTTTATTTCTTTTTCCTCTTGCTGAAAACGTTCAGGATCACAGCTGCTTTCTAATATTAGAGAATTATGGGGAGAAGTTTTATCAACTTCAGCTAATTCAAGAGGCTCCACAGCAAAAGGTGGTTCTTCCTTTGCATCAGAATGTGCCTCTGTCTTTCTGAAACACAAACTGGAATAAAAGATAAACTCATAAAACTTCTTAAAGCATTTGTCTACTTTAACTCCAGTTAGAACTAGAGTGAGAGTTTGACTCTAGTTACACCTCTATTGAGAGGAAAACAAATTTATGACAACTTAGCCCTAACTTCAACGCTCCTCTACAAAAAAGGAGCTAAGGAAAGACCAACTTTCCTTGGTAAGTATCCCCTTCTTACTACAGAACAAGACTAAGAACACTTTCTCAGGAGTCAATTTTCCCCCATTCCCAGCATTCAGTTATGTACTGAAACACTCTGCTGCCAGACATTTCCTCATTCAGATAGCAAATCTGGTAAATCTGGCAAATCTTTTATTTAATGACTGTTGTTCTCTCCTGATGCCTTAATGCTAAATAAAATCTAGAACTAGGAGAGCATGTGCCATTTCTTGTCAGACCATTCTTCGCAGTCAACTACATTCCATTAATTATCAGTGCCAATTTCATTTCAAATACGTTAAGCATGCAAAACCCAAATGAAATAATAACTACAATAAAATCTAGGTTCCTCTGCATTATGATACACAGCATCATTCAGATTAGCCACTACAAAACAGTCATGTATACAACCAACATAAGTCCAGGCAAGTTTCAATTAAGTATATTGAAGAGCAAATAGGTAACTCTGCATGAAGAATTCACCTTCTACCACAAAGATAAAGTCAACACTAACATACAGATCTAGAAATAGTAATTTGCTCCTATTTGGGACTACACTCATCTAAAAAGCATTTTATAGATTTTAAGTGCTTCATATCTACAACATACATCCAACAGCATATTTCTATGATAAGAGAAAGTCAGTCAAAATTGGCTTCTTGAAAAGTAACACACAGCCATAATGGGAGGATTTCAAAAAGCATTGGAAAGTGACTAGATCCCTTGACTGCTCATTTCTAGAAATCCTGAAATTCTTAAAAATTAGGAAAACTATGTAGTGTTGTTTTTTTTTTATTTAACTCTCTTTTTTAATGCATTCACTGTTCAACAGTATTGTTCAGGTTCTCTTGCTAAGAAGACTGACTTTTTAGCTTTTTATTTGAGGCTACAAAGCTAGTGAAAGAATCTAACCTATGGCTTTCCTCCTGAGAAGGATCTTCACTCCAACCAGCAGCTTCTGATTTGTCTGGAACTGAAGAATCCAATATTGATCTAACAGTAAGGCAGCGTTCATATCGTTCCAACATCCTTTTGATCTTTTCTTTAGATACACCATGAATGTTTCGCCTATGAATTAAAAAAAAAAACAAACAACATTTCAGATTTGTGTATTAGAATGACAGAAGAGAAAAAGTAAATAATAATTTCATAAATTTACAGCAAGATTAATCAAAGAATTCATGGGGCCAGAGGAAAAGCTGTGAAACAGCAATTCTTTCTGTATCAGTGCATTAAGGCATTCCAAACAGGGCATCTCAGACAAACTGCTGTTCCACTTGACTTCTCCACCCCACTTGGTGTCCCTGTACTGCAATGGGATATTTTGCACATTACTAAAATCTAGAACTTTGTCCATAATGCATCATCTTCAAATAAGTTTCAGAAACACGCCATATCAGATCCTGACAGTGATGCAGGATACCAAACTAGATATGGAAGATTTCTGAATTCAGTCTTCTTTCTCTGGTTTTGCTAAACTAAGAACTCCTTGAGCCTTGTGGAAAACCTATTCACCTATTATTTTGGACACGAGTTGGCTTGAAATTTTCACTAACTCTGTTAAACACCAACTGGCACTGTGTTCTGCAGCATTTCCACCTAGAACAAGTGAATCCTGCCAAGGATGGCAAAACAGAAACTTAAGATACAGGAGAAAAGGTTTAAGATCTGTTTTAACAAAGAAACTAATCTTTCTTACCTCACTTAAAAAGCGGCCAATCTTGAGCTAAGTATGCAAATTCAGATGACAACAGATATTATGAAATCACAAAATAACTTATGTTGAAAGGGATATCTGGAGGTCACATAATTCAATCTCCTACTCAGAAGACATAGAGCTCGATCAGCTTGCCCAGAGCTTTCTAATGTCCAATTTTGATATCCCAAATGACAAAGTCTACAAACTCTCTGGGCAAACTCTTTCAGTACATAACCAACTTCAAAGCAAGTTTCAGGTTATTTTTCTTTCATGTAATCAAAATTCCTGAAGTTTCAACTTGCTGATGTTTGTTTTGCCCTATGCCTGCAGAGTTCTTCTTCGTCTTCTCTATAACCTCTCAAAAGGTAGCAGAAAACAATGTAATCCTTCCTTAATGTTCTCTTCTTAAAGCTGAATAAACTACCCTTGCTCAGTTCAGTATCATCTTCAAATTTTCTATGAGTGCACTCTGTCCCAGAATCCAAGTCATTAAAAGGACATTAAATAGTTGCAGTCCTAGTATTCATCATAGGGAGACAACAGCCTTCACTCTGGACTTTGGACACTGATCATACCATTTAAACCTGGCATCCAGCCAATTTTATACTTATTATTCACTTACATAGGGATTATGTCTTGCTTATTTTGGCTCTAGGTAACAGAAGGTCCTGCTAAAGAAGAGGTAAGCAACAGTGGTGATGCACAGGGGTTTGCCCCTCTCAGGCCATGAGGTGCTGATTGCCCTAAACTCAGTGACAGCAGAAACCTTTCAATTAAGGCAACAGACCAGCTGGATGCAAAAACAGCCCCAACTGGACATCATTTTTCCAATCTCAGGAACCCAAAGGAAGAGTCACTGTACTTTAAACGCAAAGAACTTGAAATAATGAAAACATCACATAATAGCTATTGCTAACAGTATCTTTTGTATGTAATTAAACTAAGGTGACAAAAAAATCTTTTAATACATAGAAAATCCCATAAAAGTTAATATTGTAGAAAAAGAATGTTAAAAAGCTACTTATTATCACCAAAATCTGGACTGGTGTCTTGCTACTTCATTAGCCACTGTGCTAAGTGATACCTTTTTAAAAATCATAGTTTATAGACTGTAAAAGATATACTGTCTAATGTGGTATTTTCCTTTAAAGTCTTACCTTTCAAGTTCTTTCGGTTTAAACTTCCACCAAGTGTCTGGTTCTCGGAACATTACTTCATATTTGAACTGCTGAGCCTGAATAAAACAGACATAAAAAAGAACAAGCCACATCACCCATTTCTTATTTCTATGACAAAGCACACAATATGCATAGTCTGCTTTTTCAAAGCTGTTTCTTGTATTTTTTTATACCTGTTAAATACTTGGAATAACACTTCCATTCAGTGTTTCACTTATGTTTATGTAAATGGAGATTTTTAAAAACATGGATATGCATCTCTTACTGTAAAATTAAATGTGTGCCATGAATTGCCTCCTCTGAGACAAGACTGCAGAACATCTCCTCTTTCCAGATACAGCATGCATATGTCTGTGCAGCCTCTCAAAGACAGAGAAAAGCTCTCTGCTTACATTCAGAGCTGACCAGATCCAAACCAGCTCCAAAACAAGCAATTCAGTTACATTAACACAGCTATTGTGGATGACCTTCCTGCCATATGGGAAACTTGAGTGAGCTGCAAGTAAATGGCTCCTATATGGTCTATTCTCACCATGACAGAAAAGGAGCCTAAGTCTAATCAGGAGAAACACTGTGAGTAGTACTGTGCTGTTTCTCCCCATTCCTGTTTTCAGAAAAAATTCTTGTCATCTTACCAAAGAACTTTTGTTGCACCTTTATTTCAATATACAGCAAACTCAAGGACATAATTTATGAAAGAACTGCTAATCTGACAATTGTTAATAAATGCAAGGAAACATTTTATTAATAAAAACTATCTGTGTCAAGTCCCACTGTTCACTAATCCCTTACCACATGCAGCATATGTAGAGTATCTGCTTAAAAGCTATCAATTCTATGTACTACAGTCTCTGATGTCTTTCTGTATCATGTAAAGAGAAATCACAGATCTATTTCCTAATATTTCTTCCAATATATTATTTCTGTTAATCACAACCAATTTCATAGAATAATGCAGTTCTATAAATACCAACCAAAACACTGAATGCCCAACAGCAAAATAAGAGCTAGAGTCTGAAAGTGCTGATGCCCATTTAGAAACTATTAAATGAAAAGGTGAGAAGGTCATAAAACTGGAGTATGAGAAACCTATAACAGAAGTTCACCAAGTTATTTAAATAATTAAATATAACTTTGGAAGTTAAATGTAGATTGCATTAACTTAATAAACTAAAGCAGGTCACTTTCAGTCACTAAATAAAAGCACCACACTCCTATCACAAAATAGTGCAGGTGCATTATTTTGATTACATGGCTTCAGTAAAAAACATTAAGTAAATCTGCATAGCTTTAAGCAAGCTAGCAACATCTGATAACTCTAGACTTCCAACTGGTCAGCTGGTATCTGTCTCTATGTCATATTTAAGGTGAAATGGAGACTGAGTCTTCAAGTTTCACAGAGCATCAAATATCATTCTTACTGATTAATGTTGATTATCTTTTAAAGTAGGTTCTAATGTTACTAATCATATGAAAGAGGAAAAAAATTTATTTATTTTTGGCCTCAAGTACAAAGCACTTGGCTTTGCCTCTTGGAAGCCCGGTCAGGTCAATACTTGAATATGCACAGAATATGACACTGGGTAATATGATTCCATGTAACACGTTTTTTACTCCAAACTTCCTTGTGGAATAGCACCTAGACTGAGAAAGACAATCCCCTATTAAAACAATGTTGTTGTTGTCCTGGTCAACAATCTCTTTTCACATTGGTCAAAGTGTAATACTAACCAAAGTAACATAAGGCTTCATCTCCCATGCTTGTATGTTTGTGTTGTCTATTATTATAGGAGTGATTCCCATTTCAAAAGCTTCTTTGGCTGAAAAACACACGTACAAAAGAATGTGATACAGTTAATTTCATTATAATAGGGTGAACACATAACATTTATACTAATTCTCTAAATTTGTTTTATTTTAAAGTAGATAATCCACAATGATTAACCACTGTGTTAAAAACTGTTGCCACAGCTTGACCTCTTTCAAGACCCTCTATTTCAGAAATCCCCCCTCACACATAAAGCTACTGAGATATGGCATTATTCTTTTGAATTAAGGTAGGTATGATAATCAAGGAATGAAAATGCAGATGTAAAATGCACCAAGATGACTAATCAATCAGTAAATTAAACTAAAAAAACTACATGATCACCTTAAAGTGGACTTCATTGTTGCATACAAAATTCTTGGCTTTATAAGAGTCTTAAGATTAGCCCACTCTGTAAACTGTATAAAATACGAAAAATCAAATGAATTATTGTAATTTAAATACACAGTAATGAAATGTTTAGAATCACTAGCTTTGAGACACGGCATCATGTTTCTGTAGCTATGTTACAATGAGTCTGAACAATCACATTACTTGTTGAACCATATATTTCTATCAACCCATTTCTCCACTGGTAGAAATCTGACAGTAGAAAAGTGATCATGGTTCAAATTTAGCAAATGAAAGCTTTAAAAGAGTTGTTCTGTGGGGAGTTTAGCATAAGGCACTGTCAAAAAATAAACTGATTATGGAAAGGGGGAAAAAAAATTCTGTCTTGCTCTTGTAATTTAGTTTTAAATTTCCCAACAATTTAATGCTTAAGAGAAAAAAGGTAATGAAGAGCAGGAAAATATCTGTGTTACTTGTATCAACATCCTCATTACTTATCACATATGCATGTTATAATGGATCATCTCAGAAGAAGTATTTCGGGGAGAGGGTATAGGTAACCACTCCAGCAAGGGGACACAAACCAAAATACACATCATGACAAAACTTGAGGATAAAATAATCTTGTGACAAAAACACAGGCATTTTTAGTTGCAAAACACACAATGAATGGATGACTTCTGAGTTTGTGCTCATACTATTTTTCCACACATATTAAAAAATACTTCTATGATGGGATAAATGCGTGTCCTGTGATGCAGGCATTACAAGCCAGGCAGGTTTTTTTAAACAGCACACAAGCACTGAACTGTAAATGAGTAAGCTCATCCCTTATTTACTTCTCACCTCGTTTCCTGTTCCAGTCATGTGCTTCCCCTAAGCAATTGGGATCATAATGGTATTGTCCATGTTTATTAAAGTAATCATCAGTACTAAGAATTATTCCACCTGGGTTATCCTCAAGGATATTCCTGTGAAAGATCAAGAAGTAAATAGCTTTTCCCCCTTCTTCTCCCAAGCCCTGATACTTGCTACCACACATACTTTTTTTTAGTCTCTTGCACAAAACCAAGATTATTTGGAATGGAAGCAGCAAATTTAGGTGAGGGAAAAAAAAAAATCACCCTCCAGGCAAATAGTCTATATTATAGGTCTATAATACTTTCTGTCCTTTTTCCAAAAGCTGAGGATTTATCTAGGGGAGAGAGCTCACAGAGGTTCCCTTCAAGTCTCATTTCAAAAAAAAGAAGAGAGGTATTTTTCCATCTACATGAAATGACACACTTTCACACTGACAAATACACAGTCTTAATTGCACCAAATGTTTCAAGTGCCAGCCAAAGGAGTCTAAGATCAATCTAGGCTTTTGGAGAGTAAGAAAATAAATCAAAAATTCAACCCAAGAAGCTTCACAAATACTATTTATACAAAAGAATTCCCACAGTGGAAGGGGAATTTCTGCCTGTAAAGAGTTGGCACATTTCCATAGATGTTATTCGAAGGAAACACCTGAAATAAACAGGGACTAGAAGAACATAGCAGATCCAACACTATGGCAATGGTACTCTGCTGACAAACTCCTTCATCCAGTGACAAGTTAAAGCTCACCCTTACTACTTCAGTTTCCACTAGAGGTCAAGGAGCTGCAAGTAACTTGGCTCTCAGGAATTCTTAGTCATTTCACTGCATGTACTGTGGCATTTAGGGTATAAGCATAAATATTTACAAATGTCAGAAAATTGTCTCTGCCTGTGCTAAATCCTGTAAACAATTAAGCGATTTTTTTTAGAAGCTCACAATATAAATGTTCTACCTTGCCAAATATGATTTTCCTGATCCTGGAACACCTCTGAGAAGAACAAGTACTTGACCTATAAGATGCATCTTTTTTCTCATCATGTGACAAACACGTGGTTGCTGTACTTGCGAGAGGTTCAATTTTGAGTTTCTATCTTGATTTCCCCATACCTTCAGAGAAGGGTTGCTATCCCAGGCATTTGAAACCACTGGGGAGGAAACAAAAAGTCCTTTTTCTGAAGTCCTACAGTCTGAACCAGGTCTCCACTGCCCTGGACTGGCAGCCACAGGAACTACAAAGCTGTGACTTCTACTGGATGGATAAAACACAGGAGCCATGAGATTCCAGCGTTGCTGTGATTGACCTGATGGTGTAGAAAAATTTAAGTTATAACCCTGTTGAGTTTGCTGAACATCTGCAGGTTTTTGTGTTTTCAAACTGGATGTTTCAAGAGATACAGATGCCTCTGGAAGAGAAGTGCTCTGGTAGTTGTTAAAGGGAGTCACTACCTCTTCGGGTTGTTCCAAGCACCTTGAATTAGGATCTCCAGTGACAGTTACTCCAAGTTCCAGAGGGCTTTGGGAGGACTCACCAGAAACAGGAGTGACACTACTTTGATCCAAAACAGTATCTTGTGTCTGATCAGAATTTTCAGATGATATTTCTCCATTTAATTGTTTGTACACTTCTGAAGCTACATCACGTTGAGCATGTATTTCCAACAAATCAGAATCTTCCATTATCTGTGTAAAAGTGCCTGATGCAGCCGGTGAGCTTGCCTGGATGCTCAGCTGACTCACTGGTGGCTGAGAACAGAAGTTTTCTAAAACCTCATTATTTGTCTCTGCTTGCTGTGGAAAAAATAGGACATTGCAAACTGAATCAGATTTTTCCCACTCGGAAAATTCAATTAAGCCATCGTGCTCCACAGGGTGCTTATGTACTATTTGGTCATTTGCAGAATTAGGTAATTCATCACTCAAGCTGTAACTCTGAAAGGCATTTTCTATTAAGGAATCCAGTTCTTCAGTCAGCTGCACATCAGATGACAGGACCTTTTCTATGGTTTCTCCAGGTTTACTTTGTTCTGCAGTACTTTCCACCATTCTTTCATTTGCAACAGATCTTTGCTGATTAACAAGAGCTAATGATGCTGCTGCTGAATCAAAACCCAAGGTTTTTGAAGATGCTACTCCTTTGGCATGGGTGGACAGCTCTAGAAGATGATCCATAGCATTTTCTACTGTTGAAAAAGGTAAAGAGAATAAAACATGGTCAATGAACAAACCCAATATGAGGTACATGCAATTTTTTTACTTGAAGAAGCATTTATCACCACTAAAGAAACAACCAAAAGACAGTTTACCAATTCATCTTTAAACACACCTTCTGCAACTCCCTTGATCTCATTAGAAGGCAGAACTTAATACAGACATACTGAAAAATAATAACCTAATAAGCGTAAAAATTACAAAGTTTAACTGGAAAAAAATATCAGCACTGGATGTTTAAATGGATACTTATTTCTAAACTGTCTCATATAGGTGAAGTAGTGTAAAAATAACTGAAAAACTACTACTGAGGACGAAAGTGATAAAAGTCCATGAAATATGTTCATTATGGCCCAATTTAAAACGTCCTGAAAAATCCAGTATCTGCATTAATCTTTGTAAAGCCACTAAAGAGGTTGCCAGTGATCAACAATATGAAAACCTGGCACAAGTACCATCTGAGCCCTAAGGCTAAGTTTCTGTTTTCCTGAAAGACGGTGCAGCAAGAAGTCTAAGTCCAATTAAGTCCGACTCTTTCTCCATAAACATTAAACAAAATCCCCATCATCCTTCCATCTTCTCAACTATATGGGAGCAACTTATTACTCATATGAAAATCTTTCCATTTTTAAACTACTATTGATAGTACAACACTATCAATTCCACGTGTTTACTGAATTCTCCAATAAGCTTTATATAAATCTGTTATTTTGAGAAACTTGAATCTTATTAAATAAGAGTTCAAAGCATGAATTGGTAATTCCATCAAATTCAATTTTAAAAGGAACAACAATCATAATAGCACTCTCACTTTTTTATTCAGTTATAAACTGTACAATTTAGGCAATAAAAACAGCCCTTTTAATGGCTACCTAGCTTTCACATATATAAAAAAAATTGCCAAACTCTGCCTTCTTTCAAATATTCTTAGAAAAATCTCAGCTAATCACATCTGATCATAGGAATATGGATTGATTAAAATGTTCCATATATGACATTCTCCTGGCAAATAACTCTTCAGACGTTGCTATCCAGCATCTCATCCAGTATTTTCATTAAAAGCAAATGAACTTGCATATAGAAGAACTTTAAAACCACAAACAATAGAAAGGACTGGGCATAAACATGAAAACAGTCTGCCAGGAGAGGTGGGTACGTAGCTTGACAGAATACAGGGAAAGAAACACAGTTAAAGCAAGGCTGCAGAGAATTAAACATGACAAACAGAATTTATCCTGCAAAAACTAATCCTCAGTGGAGATGACAAGATGACAGCGCAAAATAAAAGTAAAACAAAAGCTCAGTTCAAGTATTAAAAGAAAAGCAGCTGTCAAGATCACACATGGCACAATATTAAAAAATTGTCATCTAGAATATAAAATATCCCTCCTGCAGAAACAGTTTAGGCATCTTGCAGATATGCACAGAAAGTAACTGGAAAAAACAGATTCTTCTCACAACTCCACTACTGCCTGCTGTGTGTCACAGAACAATCCACTCTCAACTGTACCTCCATTTATGAAGCACACTGCTCCATTTACCAGCCTCACAGAAACGTCAAACTTGGAGAATCTTGCCTGGTTGTAAAATTTCAAAATATTTATGACTCACCTACTCATTAAAAGCTAAACTCACAAATATGTTTGCAACACCCCTACCAACTTTCGTGGAGTCACCCTAGTTTAGAGCTGTCTGCATATAAAACAAAACTGTAATGCCAACTGTACGTTATTTACCTTTAAAATCGCATTCAGACAGAACCATATAAACCACGCTAGGATCTAGGATAGAAAACATCTCTGACATGCTGTTGAAAAGCTCTTCCTTATTGACATAATGCACTGCTTGAGACATTAAGTGACTTGGGTCCCCTTGGGATACAGCAAGAGCAGTTCTGTCAGAATTGCCACTCTTCTGAGAAGGACTCCCACCAGTTTTCCTTCTCCGTGGCATTTTGTTTTCTAAAAATCAGCGTGCTTTTTGTTTTGGTTTGTTCACATGAGGCTGACAGCACCAGGCTCAAAAGTCACAAAAAAAGCTCTCATAACTGGGACAGACATAACAGAAACAGTAGACCTGGAATAAAATGAGAAGAGAGAAATTTCAATAAAATACAGTAACATTTCCATGTCTCCTATTTAGATAGCTAAAAGATCAAAAAATACAAAAGCATACAGGCAAGCATTTTGTAGAAGTCTGCCTTTCTTCTTTTCTAATGGCTGAAAGCTAAAGAGTAGCCTTATTTTCCAATTAACTAGATATTGAATCTGCATCTGGAAGAGAGAATAAGTAAAACACAACTTAAAGGAAATCCAGAAGAGTAAAGTTTGCAATGCAAGGCAGTCAGTTCACAAATATTCTTCTGCTCCTGATGATCAGTTAACATATGTTCTGTTAGCATTCAGAAATTTTACTCCTCTTACAAAAGTACTGGAAAACCAAACAGACATCTCCAAATCTTCCAGAAGTCTTCATGACTTCCCTCCACCCATGATCTTTTAAGAGTAAACAGTTGGGGTTCTTCAACATTGAAACACTGGCATAGGTTGCCCAGAGAGGTTTTGGAGTCTCCAATCACGCAGATTCTCAAAACCTGACCAAACACAGCCCTGCTTGACCCAGGCTGCTTCAAGGCTCGGGCAACCTGCTTCAAGTGCCCCTGCTCAACTGCTGGGATGAACCAGATGACACTCAGAAGTGCCTCAGCCTGTGTGAAGTTTATTTCACTATTAACATTGTTTATAAACCATAAAGCAAGAAGAGGCTTCTGTCCACCCTCCAGAGTTCTGCCATGAAGCCTCTGAATACATCTAGTTAAAACATTTCGGTATCTACAACTGCAATTATTGCCTTAATCTTGTATAGAAAAGGAAACCGATTATTAATTGAAATACACACACAATGGCATGGTCTCCCTTTTTTTCTTTATATCAGCATCAAAGCTCTCTTGTGCTCTGGTGGTGGTCATAATCAACTATATTTTTTACAAATAATTATTCAGAAGACTAGCAAACCTTAGTAAGGTTCAGAATCTGAAGCTACTTACAGCAAAGGGTCACTGTTTATTGATAACAGTTATGGATTAGGCCATAAAATACCTGTTTGTAAAGACTATTTTGCCAGTGATGATCAATTCAACACACGCAGATAAATCAATGGCAGCACTTCCATGTTCACTTAGTCCTTCCCTCCCTGGATCTCTGGCACAAATGAAATGCCAGATTAGTGGCAGATTCAGACAGCACATCTCCATTATTCTCTAACAATCTCTTCCAGCAACCAAGAGAAGTAACACTTAGCAGAAGGTGGGCTGTTACATTCTGAAGTCACAGAAACTTAAGAAAGCAAAACAGACAACTCCAGAATCTACCAGGTGTACACGGACCTTACACAGACAAACGAGACGGATGTCTGAAACAATGAAGAGGTCAAGAAGTCTGAAATGCACAAGGAAAACAATACACAGGAAAAGGAAGAAGCAGACTTCCAAAAATAAAGGAGAAACCACAGTGAAAAATGCTAGTTATCCAGACTGAGCTGGGACAATTGCAGCTGTTTTTTTCATCAAACATTTTTTCGTTCACTCTCTGATTAGTCATCCTTACACCATTCTTTACCATCATGAAAAAGTATTCAACAATCAAAACAAATTACAGCAAGTCCCATCTTTCAAATTTTTATTTCTAATTCATTCATCCTCTAGCCAGTAAAAAAGGCTGACCTAACTTCACACATTGTCAATGCTAAAAAATGTGATTGTTCCTAAAAAACAGGTTCAGTGACTAACAAAAGATCCTGCAAGGGAGAAAGTTATTCATGTTCTTTGACATGACTGTGCAGCAACACTTTAAGCAGAACATTTCAAGTGTTTTCAGTGTTTTAATTCAGCTCTCATATAATGATCAATCCTGTAAGGACCTGCTGCTGAAAAACGTGCTCTGTAGCTAGGACTTTATACAATTGATTGCCTTATCTCACTGCAGGATGTTCCTGCATGTACTTCCTGCATTGGGCTGTGTATCCCATTATATATTAGGATACTTTACTCTAAAAAAGCCACGCACTTCAGTCTGGATTAATCTAAATCAGCAAATCTGCAGTACATTGCTTCAGGATTATTAAGGCCTAAACTGTCAATCACAACTAATCACAGAAGAGGAAAGATGGCAGAAGGGAAAATGACACCAGTCACCTCAGAAATTACAAGCAGGTCAAAACCTTGGTGACTCCCACCATGTCCCAGTATGCTAAGGCAATGCACAGATCCACACTTCATTCCATCTCTCCATCTTCAACCTATCAAAAACATAGATCCTCATTTCCCAGTATTTCACTTAAGCAGGGTATTTATCATGGCCAGTATCTCAGACAGATATTTTGATAGAGAGGCCAGAGAGCCTCGTGAATGGTCAGACTGGGAAGTTTCCTTAACATAGGTGCCTGCACACAAACAAAGCACACTTTACTATACTTCCTAAGAGATAACACTAGTGCACTCCACTGAAAGGAGTAATTTTCACTTGCTTTTAAGAGCACGCCCTGAACTTTACAAAGGGTTTTTATCTACGGGCTTGCCTTTTTATATACTTATGTTTCTTTTTGACTATTACCTTTACCAAGAAAGAGGAAATAATTCCAAATAACCCAATAGCCTGATATGTGGCTCAGTTATATTCATTGGTTCTGGATAACATAATATGAATCAGTCTGCAGTTTGCTGTGGGTGAGGGTGGTTTTCTTCCACCTGAAGATGAAAATAGAGTTGTAACAACATAATGATTAGGAAGAGCAGGGTTGTGTTGAACACAGTGATTGGGAATTCTAGACAATTAGTGAGAGGCTGCAATGTACTCAGAAGTTCAGTAGTCAGTTCTGGGTACCACAATCTGACACACATCCAATCAGAGCAAACAGCTGTTTCATTTCAGCACAGATAAAAAACAATACTGCTGTGAAAAATCTCAACTTCACCTTTAAAAACACAACAAAACAAAATCCCTAAGCGCTTCTTCACACACAGTTCTTCAGATATACACAGCTCCTGACATTAAGGATCCCCTCACAACATAATTCAACTACCATAAACAAGCACATATACAAAAATATGCCTGTAAGAAAATTATCTTCCAAATTATGCAATCTTACAAATAAAGCAGATATTAAGATACCTGCATTCTCTACAAAGTAAGATCATTTTCACATGCTACTAACCTAGGAAAGAAGAAGTAGACTTGTCAGGTCAGGGTGCTTTAACATCACCATCTTTCTAGCTGGCCAGAGTTTATTTCTGATGGTAGATTATGAGCCTCAGGTGATGCCTGTTCCAGTACTGCTACCCCCCTAAGGAGCTGGACAGATGCATCATAGACATTCTGCAGATACAGACCAGATATTATTACAGGCAATCCAGTCACTACAGAAACAGGCAGGCACCTACGTAATCAACCTAACACAACACATTCTTCTTTTCTGTTTGACAGATAGAACAATGAAGTGTTGAGAAGTGGCCAACCTGGCACAGCAAGATGATGGACCAAGATATCAAGTCTCAATCTCAGCATCTTACTAACAACATTCAACTTTTTGGTGAAAAGGAAACCAATCATTTAATAAACTACTTCTAAGAATGCATTTATAACTCCCAGGGGGGACTTAACTGTAAGGTGTCCTTAGAAATATTCAAAGTGCACTCTTACTGATGACACATAATCTAAAGAAAGCAAAACATTTAAACCATCAAAACAAAAATCTAAGGGGAAAAAAACAAGACCCTCCAAAACAGAATCCATTATTTTAAAAATATCTAAGTTTTCATTTATTTTAGGAAATAACCATTAACATACACCTGTCACACACAAGTCACCACACTGCTAACCAGTACAGTCATGTCAGCAAACTTCCTGCAAAGAATTCCTAGTACTTCCAAAAAAGTTTAAGAAACAAGGCTACAAATGTATTTTCTAAAATTAAACCAAAAGGCACGAGTGATGTTTGTGCTGAGGCTATATGAAATTTGCCCAACTAAACAGCCCTTGTTTTCCATAGTAAAAGCCAGAAAAACTCCCTGGCTTTTCTAAGAACTCCTAAATATTGTTAAAGAGACGTATTTTTACAAAATCAGACAAAAGCTACTATGAAGAGTATTAGGCACCGACTGTTGTAAAATTTCTGGAAAAATAATATAAATCTCAGGCTTGTTTCATTCTCAGTGTAATATAAAAATGTTTATGTAGTTGCTGAATAAAGATCTGATGAAGAGCTGACACATGTTACACAGCTTCTACACTGGGATGTCTTCTTAGAAACCATGCATGGTAGCTTGCCTTTTCAGGATATGTCAAAATTCTCAAGTAAATTGGACTGACTGCAAGTTCTATTGGAAACCAGTAGTATTCAAGAAGAGTCAGAACATACAGAATAAAGGAAGAAATACATTAAACTATTTTTGAAGTGAGTTAGATAGTCAATACCAAAGTATTCACAAAGCTCTTTTACATCAAAGATACTGCACCAGCAAACAATCAACAGTAAATATAATTTTTCAAAGTCATTACAAGAACTTATTTTTTAAGTAAACAGACCAGCAAAGTATTCTAACCACTACGGAAAATTTACTGAAAGCACTAAAGCAGCACGAGACACTTCTGGTTTAACTGTGATCAACTTCAAACAACAAATGTTATCAAAATTATTTCTATTCTTCTTTTAAGGACAGAGGAAGTCTCCAGCCTTGACACAATGTAAGATTCAAGCAATATGAATAAAGCTGCCTGATTTACATATATTTTTAAATTTCTCTGAACAATTTTAGGAAGTCAACTCCATACATATAAAAGAGGCTGGTTTAGTTTTGGTTCTTTGGTGGTGGTGGCTGTTTTTATTATTTTGGTTTGCTTTTGAGGTTTTTGAAGCATATTTTAATTTTAAATTATATAAAATATATCTCATGTAATGTTCATGTTTATTTTCCAGCTTTTAAAAAACACATATGCACATATATAGTGACATGATGGGGACTGAAAAAATTCTCAACTGGTAATACAAATAAAATAGCAATGGCACAGAACTTACATTTTCAGCTTCACTGAATTGTTCTGCAGTGGGTGTCTTCTCATCTTTCCAAAACCACCACTGATGGCACATTTAATAAAGATCTGCTGTTATAAAATATAATGCACTCTTCTGTCAGGAAACCATGCCTCCCAGCATAGAAATCAAACATCATCAGAAGTAGATTCTTCCTCCTGACAAAAGAATAAGCAACATGCAAATTAAAATTTGCATTTTGCTCACTATAAGCAAAGTTTTAAACACTGAGCAATACACTTAATTGGTTTTAGTAGATTAAACACAGCTAATACTTTAACTAAGTATCCAATATACCAAGTTGAGTTCAAGTGTAAGTCTTCCAAGGATAAAAATACCTACTTGATTTCAGCTTTTAAATGGTTTCTTATCTAAAAAGGTTGACTTATGTCAGGTAAACAAATAACATAATGGCAGAAAAATTAGTTAGAAATAAACGTAAGTTTCCTCACTTGCCATTCCACTTGGTTCTTCACCACAGTTCTTAAGCATCTTGAAAAGGTGTACATATCCATGCTGGTCAAGAACAGATTTGTTCCATCATGTGGGAAATTCAGCAAAGAAAACCTGGTACATCAAAATAAGATGATGTTACTTATACCACTTATTTGCGATGCCCTACTGATGCTAAAGAACTGCACTTCTGTTCCTCAAGCGGATTTAAACCCCTAAACCACTGTGTACACACAGAAGATGTTTACATCTACTCAAAGTCTGACTTAATTCCAGTGTACATATTAGCCTAGAGCTCATGCCTGACAACAGTCTTGTGCTTTCAAAGTAAAAAGAAATAAAACCAAAACCAAACACCAAATTAAGCACATACACCTAATCAGGCAAAGAATATGAAACAACTATTCTGTCACACTCATAACATGACAGGTTGATGGCTCGAATACTTTATAACATTCTTCACAAGAGATGAAGAAACCCATCTCGCATTTTGCATGTGACCTCATGCCACTACTCCTAAGCAGTAAGAATTGCCATCAAAACATACAGAGCACTTCACGTAAGCAAGAACTTGACGATGAGTACCCAAATTTACAAAGGACAGAACAGGTTGCAGACACAGAATGTTATTCACCTCACTCTCAAACACATGGATTCAGAAAAACCACACCAGGAAAGGCTGAAAGCCATTCAGTAGTTTTACAGAACAACTTTTTAGCAAAGGTTATTTCCACATTTGTTCATTTGCGTTTTGAGGTTTCATATATGGAGCAAAATAAGCATTTAAATACCAGCACAAGAGAAAAAAGCAGCCAATGAAATCAAACTGAGACCAACTCATTGTACTTTCTAGCTGTACTTATTAAAAAAAAAAGAAGCTTTTCTTTTTGTACAATATTCGAACCCCCTCTCTAAAAACCAGAAGGTAAAAAAAGGGAAGAAAAAAAGGAAATGGCTTCCAGCAGCTTTTTTTCAATAAGCCTGAGTAGCAAAGGAGATGGTTTAGGAGCCTTTTGTGTTCTTCCATTTCCACCAGCAGCCAGCAACAGAATGGGCCACCTAAACACTTTGTTACTGAATGTGAAAATCGATACCCAGCTAGAGACAAAGTGCTTCTAAAAACACTTCAAGCGTGTGTTCTGCTCTTCCCTTCTGCCCCTCAGTATTATTCCCACTGGTCGTTCCAAGGGCTTTGGCTCGTTCAACAGTTTGAAGTAAGATCCTCTTTTTCACATCAAATTCTGTCAAAGTGCATGACACTGACACATAGAACTCATTCTTAACTAATGTGCATAAACTTGCTTTATGCAATCTGTTCTCCTAGGATTTTTTTCCACTTTTATGATTTTAAAGTCTGGTCCAAGCCATACAGATTCTTTTGAAGCTGCTACAAAAAAAAAAAAATCTTCAGTATGAAACAAAAATTTCATCCAACTACACACACAGTTCCAGAGCACAAAACCAGCACAAACTCATCAGAAGTAGATGCTTAGGAAGTAAATAGAAGGAAGAACAGAGCCTGTTTGCTAGGATGGACTCAAAAGCTCTTCTCCACGTGCCAGGTCACGAGGAGAAGTCAACCTGCAGTGGCAATCAGCTGGTATTTGACAGGTGACAGAAGCTGCAAACTCCACATCATGCAGTTTCCTTTTAAGCCGGGAAGCTGCTCTTGCTAGAAGCCCTTCATACACATGAGCACAGGCTCATGTACACCACGTGCTGGGTGTACATGATTAAAGTAGCAAGGTAGGAGGAGGGAGAGCCACCAGTGATCTTGTTCTCCAGCACCAAGTCTGCTTGAAAAGAACTACTTTTGTACTCACCCTCCTTTTGCTGTGTGCTAAAGGTCAAAGTTTGGCCTTGGGATTATGGAAAGTGCAGATATGTAACCTGACAAGCTGGAAAAATCAACAAGCAGTTGTTTTCCTTGTTTAGGTAGAGTGTTGTTGCTTGTTATGTTTTGAGTTCATGCATTTTTTTCAGAAAATAGTAATACAGAGTATCTCCAAAATGTCTTTCCAGCCCTAGAGGAGTTTAGAGTTAGTTGATCCTTTCATAGCTTTCCTCCTACGTCCTTTGGTAGCCTCCCATACAGCTCCCAGCCCTCTCGAACATGCAGAAGTAAGGGCTACCCATGGTGAACTTGGCTTTGAGGAGATCATGCTGGAGCATCAGAACACAAAGTGTGCTGGAACTTAATATTTTTCACCAAGGTGTTACCTATTAACCACTGACCTCAGAACGGCAGCAGCCACAGGGAGAGCAGGAGGCAGGTTAGAAAGAAACATAAAGCAGTTTGTGAATTTTCCTGATGGCCCACATGCAACAGCAACATGAGAACCACTCCAGAATTTCCTGAACAGGAACATACCATAGTGATACATAATACACTTCACCAGCTCACACTGAGTCATGCTGCATCATACAATTACAGCTTAAAAAATAAAGCCAGAAAACAAATCACATAAAGAAAGCATGATAGCTTATTCATGGAGACACCTTAAATATTTTCGGGGGGGAGGGGAAGGAAATAAAATCACATGTGAGGTCCCAGGCTGGACACTACACTGATCTTATTAGGGCAATTATTTCTACTTCCTATGTTCAAATGCACTTCCACTGCTGAATCCACTAGGCCAGCTGAACGTAGAACACACACAGCCATTACACAATAAACACTATTTTGAGTTTGATATAACCCACAGATGGATGACCATCCTGATCTAGGTACATCAACAAAAAGCTTACAGCTTCCAAATGACTGCCATTACTTACTTGATAGATCTAGACTTAAACCTGTCATTTACTTTCGGAAAGCAGTTCACCTGCGATGACTAAGAAAACATCAGCCAGGACCATTTGAACAGTTTTAAATGGTGGTTTGAGTTAACACAGGCAATTTTTGAGATGGAACAGAGATTAATTACATAAACCAACCCACTGGTAATCAAAGAATCCCCTGCAGAATCATGAGAAGAAACAGCTGTAAAACAACCTCTTCCATGACCACAGCCAGATTCAGGTGAAAAGGCACAGCATTACTCACTTCTGAGGCAGTGTAACTGAAGCTAATTAATAGCCTACTGACATTTTTATAGTAGCAGAGCCTCTGTGAGAAAAACAAAGGCAGTAACTTCATAAAAGTCAAGGATTAATAATTCGGAAACTTTTACAGAACTAAATTCATATGCAGAAGAACTCCATTTAAAATAATAATTAGACTAATTAAGTCAGCGACTTAGCATAGACTATAGATCAGTACAGTGAGTGCACTAACAGTGACAGACTGGAGCAAAAGATGAGATTGTGCAATACATCAGATCTACAATCCCCCAGTCCCTAATACAATATTTCTATATCTTAATTCAAGACAAATTAAAATTCTCTTTCGTAAAATGGACAAGGTAACAAGTAACAAGCCACCTACACCATAAAGTGAAAGAGCTATAAGTCTGCATGGATGTTTCCTAACACCATGCCTAGGCTACCATTTTTGTCAGGTACTACTGCACTTTCACATTGTATCATTAAGAACTTCATTTCCCTCTACATCAGTAGCTTGCCCAGCTGAAATGCATTAATGTTAACACAACACAAAAGGAGTTCTCTAAATAAAAAGTGTAAACAAGACTACAAAAGAATTAGAGGACAACTAAAAACCAAAACAAAAACCAAAAGACAATAGGAAAAAGCCTATTAAAAAGAAAACAAAGGATTTTAAGATGTGCTTCTATACTGTTAAATTTCCCTCACAAGTTCTTCACATAATCAACAGGAACATAAACTATTGCAACCTTAAAGCGCTGCAAACGTGCTGCAACCACATGACACACACAAGCCCTACCCTACCCTACTCATGGTGACCCCACCCAGATGAACGAGGGCTACAATTTTCAAGCTTTACAGACCTATACCATACTTAATTTTTCCTGCCCTTCTATAATTTTCCTCATGTTTATATTTCAACCTTTGGCTCTCCCCTCACATCCAAAGACACATGATCTAAAACTTTTATTCTTTTTGGAGGTCTTTTGCTTAAGTTCTTAAGCTTGTTTATTTTCCTTAAGTTCTATATAAATTATGCTCATCTTTTCACTGCAGGTCCTACTGCAAGCCTGAGATGCAGACCAAACTTTGTCAAGACACTGTATAAAAGCATTAAAGTGTTTCTTAAGAGTCAAACTGTCCTTAGTCTTTTAGAACAGAAGTAAAGAAAAGTAATGTGTTTTTTATTCTCGCCTTGGAAGTCAGACTTCCTCCCAAGCCCCAGTGACCTTATCGTACGCGATCAGCAAAACTGCAAACTGTGTCCAAAGCATGCAGGGATACTACGCTATGGAGTAACATGGTAAACACCTTTCAGCGGTTCTCTTGTTCAGAACGCACAAGCCCTAAGAGTACTTAGAACCTTCTGATTTCATTTTGAACGGGGTGAATTCATACTGCGGGGCTCTATTTCATGAGATGAAGTTCACGAGCACTCCGCACTGTCTGCCCGGGGCAAGCGGGCGAACCCTTTTCGCCGACACGCCAACCCTGACCCTTCCTGCAGCGGCCACAGCCGCCGGCGGGGCAGAGCCGGGATTTCTGCGGAAGGCC